TCAAGCACACAAATGTGATAATAATCACAAGAGTATAAGTGTAACATACTGATTTTTTTTTCTGCTTCAATTAATGCTTGCCCCCATTTTTCTTTGTTCTTTATGAATTGCCTAGCCTTTCCATCGAATATGGTGGAAAGCTAGGTATTTTTTATAATAATATGATAATATTATATTATTTTAATTGATTGATTTTTTTTAAAAAAATCAATCAATTAAAATAATATAATATTATCATATTATATATAAAAATACCTAGCTTTCCACCATATTCGATGGAAAGGCTAGGCAATTCATAAAGAACAAAGAAAAATGGGGGCAAGCATAATTGAAGCAGAAAAAAAAAAAAAGCGATAGGGTAGTTGGAAGTTGAGAGGAAATAGAATAAAAGAGGGGGAGGCGAGACGGAAAAGGAAGAGAGAGTGAGAAGCAGAGAGGAAGAGAGAGAGAGAGAGAGAGCTAAGTTGTAGAATACCTGATAATTTTAGGAATCATTTACGTACACAAAACTACTTTTTGGGTCAAATTTTTCTTTATAAATATTTTCTATATATTTATAGCTTTATATTATTAGTATCATTATAATATTTAGAGAAAATTTTACTGTTTCAGTATAGAATAAATATGGAATTTTAACAATGTGTGACTGTAAAATTTAAAGATACATTATTAATAATTTTAATCAGTTTATATTTACTCAATGACCGTTTTGAGAATTTTAAATTGAGATTTTAGTTAAAAAATTTTATTTAGACATATAATATGTTTTTACCGATTAAATTTAAGTTAAATAATTTATTTGAGTTATTTAATATATTATTGAAGATTTAATTGGCTTAAATATTGAATAGTTAAGATATATCTTTAAAATAATTTTTGAAGGTTTAAAAAAATTGTAGATTGAGAATTTTGTGAAATTAGATAAGTTCTAGTTTGTTTATAATTTAAAGAAGTTGTTTGGTTTGAAAAAAAATTGTTAAATGAGATTATAATAAATAATTGAGAATTTTAATATAAAATATTTATATATTTGGTAATAAAGATATATTTAATTAAGTTATTAAATTTAAAGTTTTATATGAAAATTTATTGTCAAAATAATATTATATCATTATAAATAGCAAATTTTGGGAGAGCTAATATATTTATGTAATTTTAGTTTAGACGGTAATCTTAAATTTTAGAGTAGTTTTGCAGTAGCTTTAAATTTTATATTAATAATATTTATGTGTAATTTTGGAGGCTCTTGAGAATTTTGGAGTAATCTTTGTGTGATATTTATAAGCTAAAGAGTACCAAGTAACTCTAAAAATTCTTTCTTGTACATGTGAATTGTGTATGATTATATTATGGATTTACTAATTTTTATATTACTGAAATATAATATTATGATTTTTCAAATAAATGTTTTAATATGTCACTTGATTTTGTTAAGACTTATTGCTATTAATTATGATCAATATTTAAATATGTTGATATCCATGGGATTAGCAGGAGTTGCTGTTCAATAGTACAAAAATTTATTATTTTCTTATTTCTAATAATATAGTTGAGGACGTATTTATGATGTAATATTATTTGCATCTGACATATGCATTGTTGGGTTAAGGATAGAAGGAGAATTTTATGGATATAAATTACCACGTGGTATGCCATCACTCGGTGCATAGTGGATGGCACTTGTTAGGGCTCCTTCGTCCATGTTTTCTTTTGGCCGGGAATTCATTGGAGCTGTGAGACATGTGACATCTCCTTATGTTTATTTCCAAAGGAGGGAGCTATAGTCCGGGCTTGAGCTCTATATCTTTGGCCGAATATATCTCTAGTATCAGTGAGCTTAGAATAATTCAGTAAAATGGATTAGCTCTTATCGGACTATGTGTTAGCCTATAGCTCCAATCAGTGGTATAAGAGTGGACAATGATATAAGGGAGGCAGCATATTGCATTATTTTTTGATATATTAGAAAAATGATATTTGTATATTGCTGAATCAAAAATGAAATTGAGTTAAATGTACCAAATCTGTGATTTTCATATGTATATGCACATATAAACGGATTTTTTTTTGTTATCATATATGGCCTGCTTGTATAGGTTAGAATTTTAGTAGTTACTGACGTTTGATCTCAACCCCTATCTTAACATTTTTTTTTTAGGCGAAGGATCTAGTAAGAATCAAGGAAAGGCACCAATAGAGTGAGCCATAAAGGCTTTTGTGTTCCTCGAGCACATGCTATATATATATTTTTAATTGCCATGACTATAAGACTTTAATAGTTTATTTTGTTATTATGTCAGAAATATTCTGAAATTATGACTTGTTTAGAGTATTAGCAACGTATAAATTTTAAATGAAGTATTTTATCAGATATATGGATATATTGTATGAGATGTTACAATAAGCTTTTCTTAGGTAGAAGAAAGAAAAAGATAAACAACAGACTTTACTCTAGTTAGGCCTCATCTTGCTTTCCCTGTCCCAACACATTGTCATGAAAAAAGCTTTCTCCCTTGCCTTTTTGAGTGTCTTCTTCCTCTAACCTTTACTCTCTTATTTATAGGTTCCACCTAAGGTTTTCCAATTTTTCTTTAATTTTTTTTTAATTTTGTTCCATTATGACTCATAATATAACTTCCTATTTAAGTACCAAATTATCATTAAATTGTGATTTTTTATTTTTATTTTTGTTTTTTTACTATTATGACTCCAAAATATGTTTCTAAATTGAGAAGCCAATCAACTTAAGTGAGAAATTTTTATTTTTATTTTTATTTTCTGATTTTTTTTATTTCACTCTTTGATGTGTTCACCTCATATTTTCTAAATTAGAGACCAATCAGCATTTAATTTACCTTTTGCTTTATTACTATTTATTGTGAGAAAAATATTCTTGTTTGATTTTTCTTTTTTGGATAGATTTTTAAACTTGGCCCCTAAAAAAATCAAGAAAGATATTTCTTTTATTATTAGGATTTCTTATTTATTAGATTTATTATTGTTTCTGTAGGTCCGGACAAAATAGGGTGTTTACACTTCGTTCACAAACCTGTTCATTGTAATCAGCGTTCCAATCATAAAAAGTTATCACATCAAATCTTTTCTTTTTAGTTAATAGTTCTTCTACCATATAGACCTTGGTTCATAGAACATTTGGACAGAGTACACTGCTCCGTTTTTTTTTTTAACCCTCATCCAACATCTTTTCTTAGGCTAGATTTATTTCATTTGGGCAGTGCATTGTGATAAGAAACTTTTCAATAGATTTCAGAGTATTCCTGTCCAAATAGTGTGAGTTGGTAAGTTATTGGATATGCATTTCCTCACTCAACAAAGACAAACGAGAATTCCCATTTGAAATGCTCTGATATGTCTTTGAAGGGCTAATATGAACTGATTTTATTTCTATGTTACTCCGGTGATTTCGGACAAGCAATAGGTTCATGGTTTTCTAACCAAAAAAAAAGAAAGAGAAGAAAAGAGAAAAATGCTCAATATGGGATACAACCATGCATATGGATCTCACCCTTGTTCATGCAGGAATGATAGTTCGTGAAAATTTATGTAAACGGTTATTCTCAATGTACTTGGTGATTTCTGGGCCGAAAGAAAAGTTAAAAAAAAAAAAAAAGGTACTGTGAGCAGTAGAAAGGCGAATCTTCTCTAACACAGTGATATATTCATGTGAGCAGAGCGATCGAAAGAATACTCTGATTTCATTGATCAGTGCAGGGTACAATTTATTCACTAAAGTCCACTAAGTCTTGACGGCATCATATCATATCATCACTCAAGATATAACAAGACATACTATTCATAAACCTTTGTAATTTCGTTTCTTAAATTTCTGAAATAAAAAATAAAATTGTCTAGTTAACAATAGAAATAATGGTAACAAAAAAAAACAAACAAAAAGAATGGTTTGAGATCGGTGAGTAGCTGTGCCAACATAATCACCCCCCCCCCCGGAAGAGTATTTTCTTTGGTTAGCCAAACAGTGTTGTGCCTATTAAAGATCAGAAGAGCCAAGATATTTTGTGTCGGCACTACTCAGATGATTGGTAATCAAATATGAGAATTTGAAATTTGATATCGAGTCTCAAAACATTTGAATTTGAGCAGAGCAATAGGTTCAAGTTTTCCGTTAGGTAAAAAGCCTTATGGTGCAATCAACATCTTCCAGCATAGCACTGATTAACGAGTGGTCATCCGCTGTTGAAATCTTCACGTGATGAAAGACATTAAAATATCATATCACCAGAAAAGAAAAAAGACATTAAATATCATGATATTTACAGTTGTGTAGAATGATTAAACAACTGTAAAGCATGAAATAAAAAATGGTAGTGGTAAGAAATTTCAAAGTTTGATTCATTTTTGCTCCTTCTGTGCGTGTGAGCGCTTTCGATTTCCTAGTCTTTCTCACCAACATCTTGTCAACAGAAAAGAAGGGTTTATTGGTCTTGATGGCCTATAGGCCTAACTTACGCGTTAGATGCGGATATGACAGTAGTTTTAAGGTTATTCTGCACTGAAGTAACTGTAAATACTAATGTTTCAAGTGCATTAAATGGGCTAGAAAAAGAACATATTTTATTTCCTTGAATTACGGGCAAATTGCCAAATTATAATATTTACCGGTTCTTGTAACCTAGAAGTCTTAAACTATGTCCAAGATGCATGCAAGAGTGCATAAATGCATCAACGGAGTCCAATTTATTTAACAAAACTAATCACAACTTATATACCATGTTATGCTAAAGTTTCATATTTATTGTGACTCACATATTCCTTTGATTTTTCCCCTCTCGTAACATTGGTGTTTTAGTCCATTCCATGTGTCTATCAAAAAGTAGACAGGGCCCTCGAGTTATACCTGCTCCAACTGAAGACCTTTTTTCTCCTCGATCTTAACGAGTCCATTAAAATGCATGGAGCCGTCCAATAAAGCTTTTGAAAGAAACAGTAGAAAAGATGAGTTTTTCCTTTTAAGAAGCAGAATGAAGGTTCAAGATTCACATGGAGGAGACGAAGTCCCTTTTCACCTCTCCTCTCTTTCTCGCACTTTCTCATGGAAGAAACAAAGTTCTCCTTCACCCTCTTCTTTCTTTGCCACTTGTTTCTCTCTGATATCCTTGTTTCCAACAGTTTTGAAAGCAAAGGATTCCATAACTTCAGCGCAATCCATCACTGATAGCCAGACACTAGTTTCTCCTGATGAAAAATTTGAACTTGGATTCTTCAGTCCTGGCAATTCCAGTTTGAAATATCTGGGAATATGGTACAAGTATATCCCAAAGCCTACTGTTATTTGGGTTGCAAACAGGGACAGTCCACTTGTGAATTCTAGTGGCACTTTAACATTCAGCAATGATGGTAAGCTTGTCATTCTCAGTCATACAGGAAGTATCATATGGTCTGCAAACTCATCCAGATCGCCAAGGAAACCATTAGCTCAGCTTCTAGATTCTGGAAATTTAGTCTTGAGAGACCTTGAGGATGAAAGCTCTGTGAGTTACAGATGGCAGAGTTTTGATTATCCATCTGATACATTCATTCCAGGAATGAGACTTGGTTGGAACTTCAAAACCGGCTTCAGCAGACACTTAACCTCTTGGAAAAGCCATGATGATCCTTCTTCTGGAGAGTATAGTTATAGTGTGGACCCACGCGGCCTTCCTCAGCTTTTTCTTCTTAAAGGAAAGAAGAAGGTCTTTAGAAGTGGACCATGGTTTGCACAACAACTCAAAGGTGACCCAGCTCTTATGGACAACCCAGTTTTCAAACCTGTTTTGTTTTTAATTCTGATGAAGTGATTTTTCACGTATGAAACTAAGGACAGTGTCACTTCAAGATTTGTACTTACTCAATCTGGTTTGATTCAGCACTTCTCATGGAGTGATCCTCGTTCCAGTTGGATCCCAGAATTTTCATTTCAAGGAGATCGTTGTGTGATGATTATGGCATTTGCGGTGCCTATGGAAGTTGCACCATAAGAGAATCGCCAATTTGCAAGTGTATGATGGATTTTAGCCTAGGTTACCTCAAGACTGGCAAAAAATGAATGGTCAGATGGATGTGTTATGAAGAATTCTCATACTTGCAGAAATGGAGAGGGATTTAAGAAGCTTACAGGAGTAAAACTGCCAGATTCTGCTGTGTTTCACACAAACTCAAGCTTGAGTTTTGAGGAGTGTGAGACAGAGTGCTTGAAGAACTGTTTCTTGTGTTGCTTATGCTACACTAGATATCATATCAAACCCGGCAAAGGATGCATTTCTTGGTTTGGGGTTTTATTTGATATCAGAGAGGTTGCATATTATGGACAAGATCTCTACATCAGAGTTCCAGCTTCAGAGACTAGGTAGAAAATTTGATGATATAGTCCTGAGTAGGGTTACAGATTCTCTGTTCTGCAATTTCTGGGGCAGGCTTTTCGGCGTTAGATGTTCGTGTTCTAATGTACTGTATATTGCTGTGTCAGGTTCAAATGCTGTCTGTCCCGAAAAGAAATAAACATATAATAATTATTGTAGCTGTATCAGTAAGCTCAGCAATTGTTGTCTTGGTATCATGGTTCATAATTGAAGAGATGGAGATTCGAGGTAACTATTTGTGTTTTCAGAAGGTTTTGAGGCAATAATTTTGTATTTATTTACATTTATTTTACTCTCACTTTCATTTTTCCTTCTTATTTTTTTTTTTTTTTTTTTTTTTTTTTGCCCTTTTGGAGCTATATAGACAGATCATTCAACTGATACTTAACAGACCTAGAAGTGAACTCCCATCATTCAAGATTGACATTATTGAAGCAGCACAAAGAAGTTCTCAGCCTGGCAATAAGATTGGAGAAGGTGGATTTGGTCCCGTATACAGAGTAAATCACTACTTCTCTTGACTAATTATCTAACAATTAACACTTCTATTGATGACACGAAACTAAGACTTATTAGCAAGGTAATGCATATTTTTGTAAAATGTGAAAATCTTCCACTGAATAGATTATTTCTGGAGGTAAGCCAGACTTTCACCATATATTTTTGGTCTTGGTCTCTTATCACACATCGCTTTACTACATAAAACTACTCTAAACCTTTTTACAGATTCTTCACGGGAAGTATTATGATAAAGTCCATTAATAACTGACAATAGTTCAACAGTCCCTATATTCCAAGTTCCTAGTT